CATGCGCTTGTGCAGTATGTAAGGGAAACTAACCGGTTCCGTTTCAGCCTGAGGTCCTTAATCTTTGACTTAGCCATATTTCATGCAAAGGCAGATATCGTTAGTCTCACGATAGAGGTCTCCCTAGGCAGAAGCGACCACGCGGTCCTTCAGTTTAAAGTACTGGTGAAGTACAATAAGCCAGGGATCAAAATCGTCCGGTTGTGTGCGAGTGTACAAAAATAGGGTCTTAAAGCGGCAGCGTTAAAAGTAGGCTGCGAACAGTCGATAGCTGAGCCTACCATTGAGGACAGATGGACTGCAATTAAAGATAGTCTACTGAGGCTCACAGAGGAGTTTGTACCCCTCAAGTCCAGACGACTCAGACAACGGCCACCATGGTGAAAAACATGTTTAGACAAGGATCTGGCCATAAGGAGTCGAAAAGGGACTCCTTAGAAGTGGCCCAATTCGTACCAAGCTTGGTTTAGCTACAAGGCAGCAAGAAACCAAGTGCCGGCTATGCAACGAAGGGCCAGGTGCGACTATGAACATGGGATTGCGATTAAAGCAAAACCGAACCCAAAGACGTTCTATGCTTACGTTCAGTCTAAAAAGGCATTAAGAGTCGGGATTCAAACATTAAAAAGCACTGATGGACGTCTTGCCTAAAGTGAGGAAAACAAAGCGAATACGCTTCAGGCTTTCTTCAAGGGAGTGCATAGACAGCCGGTACCGTTAGGTTCGACAGATGGATTCGATTATCCCAGCGTGACATCACATTTGACCGAAATAACTATGAAACCAGATGAAGTCCCTCGCAAGTTAGCTGCTCTGAAGAAAACCAGAGGGTGAGACCGGATGGCATCCATCCCGCTATCTTTGAGCCTCTAGCGGGGATAAACCAATGGCCTCTGACAAAGCTGTTTTGAGTATCTCTGGGTAAAAGCTAGACATCGGGAGATTGAGAAAGAGCGACGGTAGTTGCTTTGCGTAAAACTAGGTCAAAGCAAAAGGCCAAAACTTACAGACTTATTAGTTTGACGTCGGTCCTATGCAAATGCCCAGAAAGGATTGTACGTAAGTATATGGCCGGATACCTAGTAGGTCATGAGCTACTAACACCAGCCCAACACGACTGTATTAATTCTTGTCTATCGAATCTCCTTGCCTTCCTCAATGAAGTCACAAGACGCTTAGATGAGCAACAGCATGTTGAAATCGGTTACCTGGACTTTAGCAAAGCATTGGACTCTGTAAGACATCAGGGATTAAACCAAAAGATTCAAATCTCAGAAATTGGGGGCAGCTAAAAAGTGGGTAAACTGCTTTATAGCTAACCGCACCATCCAGACCAAGGTAGGTACGAACTTACCGATGCCGGAATACATCAGTACCGGTGTCTTTCAGGGTTCTGTGCTAGGCCAACTTTTATTCCTGATTTTTGATAATGATCTGTCACGGGAAATCAACAACCTGTGCTCCGTGTTCACGGAGGACTTCAGGGTGGCTGGAGAGAATGTATATCAGGACCTTCGGGCGGTTATACGGTGGTCCAAAAAGTGGGATCTTCCTCCCAACCTAGCCAAATGTCAGCTTCTAACAGCAGAAGCTGAACTTGACATTCGAAGTGAACTCCGGCTCAATAGAGAGAGAAGTTGAGAACCTGGGGGTCATTGTACGCACGACTTCGAACTCTCACAAGAACTTCAGGTGGCAGCAAACATAGTTCGAGGGCAACTTCTTCGTCCACACTCCACGATCACATGTAGGAAACCGAATGTCCTCGTCCCTCTGTACAAGGCCATCGTTACTGCACACTTGGAATAATGTGTTCAGGCATGAGCGCCCTACTTTCAGGAAGACGTCGAATGTCTAGAAAGAGTGCAACGTCTGACTACAAGCATGATAGTTGGAAAGCGAGATAAGAGCTATAAGCAGAGGCTCAAGGACCTTAATCTGTTCTCGCTGGCAAGAAGGAGAATCAGAAGGGACCTCATAGAAGTCTCTGAGATCATAAATGGTCTCCCCAGACTAGAGACTGATGATGTTCCAATTCATCCCTTCAAGTTACACTAGGGGTATAGTTTGACGCTGCATTGTAGTCTTGTGAGTTTGGACATCCGAGCCAAGTTCTTTACAAGTTATTTAATACCTTACTGGAATGGTCTACCGGAGGAGCTGGTAAGCTGCTCAAACGCAATAGCCTTTAAAACGGCCTTAGATGACTGTTGGGTTCTATATTCGCTGAAACAGTTAAAAGATGAATACCTATTAGTCCTGAACTATATTTCCTAAGACGAGATGTACCGAAGTTGGACTGCTTCTAGAGTGGCTACCTCAACACGCATTATCACAACGCATGCGACAAGCCACCCGGTTCAGAGCAAAGGACAGGTCATCCATATTGTATCTGGTGATCACGGGAACCCTGTACACATAAGAACAATAACCTTGATGAGTCTCTAGGGAATAGTGATAATGATCCTGCGGCTAACACTGGAAAGTGGACACACCAAACTAGCGGCCAACCTAGGGAGGCGATATGGCAAAATCAACCAGGACTAACTGACCAGAGCAGAGCAAATATAAACTGGGTACCCAACGCTGCCGATGCATCTTTGGGAACCAGATGCAGCTATATCAAGTCACAGCTACTCCCACTCAAGAACCGGTTTGGGCCTTTGGTTCCGTTCAGAAAGAAGTAACACCTTCCTTAGTGGAAAGCAAATGTAGCTAGAGCTATAACCATTCGTGGAAGACGGTGGGCAGTCTATAAACTATATGGCAACCATCAACCGTGGAACGGTTACAAAGAAGCGCGCAACTATGCACAGAAAATGCAAAGGAAAGCTGAATACCAATTTGAAGGCAATCTAAAATTTTTCTCCCCATATGTCCAATGTAACCGAGACACTAGAGAAACGGTTGATACTTTAGAATAGTATACCGGAGAACTAGCAGTGAGTGACAGCGGTAGAGCAAATATCCTGTTACAGTTCTTTAAAACCGCGTGCAGGATCCCCAGGGTGACAGATAACCTTCTATCAATCAAAATTAACTGCACCATACCCAAATCTCTGTGAAAATTTAGGATGTGCAGTGGTAGTTGACCGGGATCAGTAGGTTCAAGGCAACGGAATTCACCCAGCGATTTTACAACCACTAGCTGACGTCATAATGGGACCGATCTTCGAGTTATTTAAAGAGTGGCTAAGACTGGGAACTGTCCCGAAAGACTAGCGCAAAGCCCCAGTAGTGGTATTACACAAGTCTGGATCCAGGCAAAAAGCCAAGAATTAAATACCAGTAAGTTTGACCTCAGTAATATGTACGTGTTTGGAACGCCTAACTAGAAAGCAAATATGTCACTACATGGTCAATAGCGAATCATTGATATCAGCTCAGCACGGATTTGTTGAAAAGTCATCTTACAAACCTGGTGGTGTTTCTAGACGAGGTCACACGTAGAATTGATGAGGGCCTACCGGTGAACGTGTGCTATCTGGACTTCCAGGAAGCACTCGACTCGGTCAGCCACCATCTATTAGATCATAAGATCATAAGATTTATTGGGAATATTTGGGCACGTCAGGAGCTTTACAACGGGCTTTCTTGCGAAGCGGACGTTTAGTGGCAAAGTAGGGGCTCACACATCCGAAAAGGAGGTGGTCACAAACGGTGTATCCCAAGGATCCGTACTTGGACCACTTCTGTCCCTGCTCTACAATAAAGACCTAGTACGGGATCTCCAAAATCCTTGTTCTCTGTTCGCAGATGACGTCAAGTGGGTTGGATGGGACATAGGGGTAGTGAAAAGATGGGTCAAACAATGGGACCTACCAATAAACGTCTCAAAATGTCAGATACCGTGAGATAGCTTTGAGGGTCCAGAGTGACTGCCGCCGTAAGTATGAAATGGACCCGGCCGATATTACCAAGCAGTGTCCCAAAGCTAACTACAACTACGTCCAGTCAAAGGCCGCTACGAGAACGTCCGCTGGAAACCTAATGACTGCGGATGGTGGGCTTGCTGTGAGTATCAATGAAAAGGCCGAGGTGCTCCGGGTAGACTTCGAGAGGGTTTACCAGAGAGACAGGGGTAGAGATGTCCCCACTCCAGTACCGGCAGACGTACAACAGATGGCAAATCCGCCTATCACCCGACTGGAGGTAGAAAAAATTCTGGGCGCACTAAACACCGAAAAGGGTGCCGGTCC